TGCTGTTCTAGCCTCTACCTTGGCATGACACCCTGCCTCCGGGTAAGACAGCTTTTTAGTCACCCAGGGTGTGATTTACAGAGGCCACAAAGAAGAACGACAGGCTACCCACCTGTAATTGTAGTTCTTCGAGTGGACCTCTATGATTCACACATCCCACCCATCTTCCCCTCTGTCACACCATTGTTTGCTTACTATTAAGCGGTGGTTGGCACAACTGAAAGGGGACGCTTGGCAGCAAGGCACTTATACGGGTGGAGGGGCCTATTCTAATGTATTTATTGCTACCGCAGAAGCTCTAGAATCTTCCAATGAGGCTCTGCGCGGCGCGAATCACCCAGAATGTGAATCACGGAGGTCCACTCGAAGAACTACAATTACGGGTGGGTAACCTGTCGATCCTAGGGCATGCATTCTTTCTGTATTGACAGGACTCAGACTTGGGGCTTAGAAGAATTCCATTTTTTTTTGTACTCCAGTTCTTGCAACTGTGGCTGGGGAATTCGATAGCCCCCTTCCCCTGCTCCAAATCCTCTTCTTGGTTCTGCTGAAACCTGGCATTGCTTGAAAGAGACAGTCCAGGAAAGCATGGTCTATCCTGACTTTTCTTTTCAATGCTGCCTAAATGGCTCCCTCAGCAAGTTGAGCTGAGGAAGAGAGCAAGTGGCTCAGGACCAGCAAGGCATGGAGTCTTGGTGACCATGGCACGACAGTGGCCCTCACACGCTTTAGCGCTGGAGAATCGGTGAGCCTGATCAGTGTTTCTTGTGGGAAGCGGCGGTGATGGCTTAGTCGTCCCTCCAGTTACCCTGACAGGCCAGATTGGTGGAACAGTGTGAGAGCCCTGGCACAGTGGAAAGAGGTAATCGCAGCCTGCAGGAAAACAACAACAACAACACACACTCATAGGGAACTAGTGTCAGTTTCAGCAAGGCTGGCACAGGGGCGATGTAAATCCTCCCCTCCTTTTGGAGCTGCCTTTTAGTCAAGATTGAGCATCTGTGTTTAAAGGATGTGATTAACTTCACACTTTGATGTTGCTGGCTTACACGAGGCTTGTCTGCTTTGAGGAATATTGGTTAATGAGTTTTTAAGTGTACAGGTGGTCGGGGCTATTTTTAGCTTTGCCTGGCCTTGTCTGTTCAGCTGCTGGTGCTGCTGTGCAGAACAGAGACATGTTTGTGTCCCTGGTTCTCTTGCGTGGATGGGAAGCATCCAGAGCGATAACAGATTCCCATTATCATTAGCCTAATCATGCTGACCCAGCCAGGAGCCTTCTTGGCCAGGATAGATTGATAGCGGGGGACCAGATGTTCCCTCCTGCAATTTGAGTGTCTTGGATTGGTGGCCGTGAATACCCCAGCACATGGGGCGAAGATCACAAAAACAGGAGTGTTGCTGAAGGAGTGGAGATGATGAATCCTATCTCGCCAGCTCCCATGTTCTTGGAACTTGGGTTGCCATTGTAGAGTTGGTGTTTTTGTGCCACTGGTGTTCAGCAACGCTTCCCTCGCCTTGTCTTGTTCCGGCATTATTGACTCTTTGTTCCGTCCTCAAAAGTATTCGTCGTCTTTCTCTTCTAACATTCCAACTTTGGGCGTCTTCTCTTCCCTCTCTTGCAGGACACGCTACTTTTGAACTGGGAGCTACGTGGATCCATGGTTCCAATGGAAATCCAGTCTATCATCTAGCAGAAGATAATGGCTTACTCGAAGAGACAACAGACGACGAGAGGAGTGTGGGCCGTATCAGCCTCTACTCCAAAAATGGGGTGGCTTATCACCTCACCAACAACGGTCAAAGGATCCCGAAAGATGTGGTTGAAGAATTCAGTGATTTATACAACGAGGTTTGTACTGATTTGGCTCCAGGTGGTATCAAAAGATGCATGGGAGCTAGATGGGAAAACATTGCCTTCCAAAGTCAATCTGGTCTCCTCTATCTCTTTCGCACGGTTTCTCCCAGGAGTCTTGACCATCGGCCTTTTGGGGGGTGGGGGCCGAGGAGATCTGAATGGCATTATATTCAGAGGGTGCTGCCCTGTTGAAGCATGCTATACCAGTAGAATCGCTCTTGAAGAAAACAGTTGTTTGTTTCTTGGGATGGAAACATTTCAGGGGCCATTTGCTCTTCTGTCGCTGCTGACGTCTTGAATTGGATGGGCTGGAGGGAAAAGTGGAAACGGCCATTGTAAAAGGGGACCGGAAGCGGAGGAGAATGCAAGACCAAGTGAGTCTATTGTTAAAAATGGAGGCATCAAGAGGGCATCCTTATTGCCCAGCTAGGTAGCAAGGGTGACATGGGAAGCTTTCTTTATGGATCAGGCATGATGATTTGATCTGCTGAGGACTACCACTGTTATGTACTAGGTGTGGCGTTAATTAAGATAGTTTTGCTTTCATCCCTTCTTAGCTAGCCAGAAGTCAAGTCACACTTTAGTAACATTACTTTTTAGGTATTACAACTTCTAGAATCCTCCTAGCCAGTATGGTCTGGATTCAACCCCTGTCCAATATCAACCCCACAAGTCCCACCTTCAGGGTTAAGTGGAGGCTTTGATCCTGGACATGTAGAAATTTGCCAGACCCTGTCTTAGCTTGTTTGATCCTTTCAAGGGCCTTGGGAAAGCAGATTAGATGGAGAGGCAGAGACTGGCTTGAGGCCATCCGGGGGAAGCTGGTTGATCCTATGCAACAAGTGAGCTTGAAGTGTTGACGTGTTGTTTCCTGTACTTGTTAAGTTGGAAGGGAGCCCATGACCATTCAGATTCACATTATGGGAGCCATAGACACTGGTATGGCACGCCAGTGCATGTACTTTGCATGTTCCCTAATATTTAAGGCACACACCTCCCTTGTGTGATGAACACGTGCAGCTACCACACTGGGGTGGAAGGGAGCCTTTGCTACAACACTGAGCAGAGGGTCACTCCTGGATCCCCCCCCCCATTCCAGACTTAAGCCCCAAGACCCTACCTCTCATGAATAATGAAAATGGGTTCCTAACCGTGTGGATTGCTGTGTGTCCATGTAAGGATGTGAGCTGTTGTGGGTGTGTTTATAAATATTGCTGGAGTGGGCAGGCGGGCAGTGACTGAGTGTTGTCTCCATCTGTGTACTTCTTCGTAGGTGTGGAGGCTAAGAGCCTTTCACATCTCTTCCCTGTCTGGTTTCCCATTTTCTGTTGACTGATCTGCACCCCAATCCATTTCACATTTACTTGGATATCGGTTCTTCCAAATCTGCTTGTTTGCTTATTGCATTCTTAGCACACCCTTCCTCTTTACTAATAACATTCAAAGCAGCTATCAGAGATCCCTAAAAGATAGCAAAATATAAAACCTTTAAAATAATCACAATAAGCAATAAGTGTCAAAATGTTTTGCTTACATTCCCTCCCTAAGATGCCAGCCGTTGAGGCTTTGAGTGTGGATTTCTCCATCTGCTGGCCTGCGAAGAGTTATGAAGTACAAAATACTTTGGAAATGTATTAGTTAGATCCTCTTAGAACATTCCTAACACTTCTTAGAATGCTGGAAATTAGGGTCACACAGTTGGTTTAGGCCCCCCTCCCTACATCTTGGGATTCTTCAGCATAGACCATTGTTTGAAGTTTTAAAAAAATTAAGCCTTTTCGTTCTCTTGGTCAAGCAGAGCACAAAAAAAGCAGTAAAAACACAATGGATAACTAAGCTTTCGGCCAGTTGCTGGCTTGGATTGTAATGCGGTTTTGTTTGTCTCGTGAATGTGTGATCTGCTTATGGGAAGGGGAAGCAGCTTACGGAAGCTGAGTGGCTTTATGTGAAGGCAAGGTTTGCAACAGCTTTTCAACATTTTTCACTAGGCACTGTCTAAATCCAGGCTATGAAAATTTCACCACCCTAGTAGGATGCAGTAGGACCAGAAGGAGGCTGAGCTGAGCGAATCCCTGACCCTCACGCAGTGCAATGGTGGAGCTTTCTCCCCAGAATCACATCGATTCAAGAATTCGTGCAGAAGTAGACTTACATCCTGCAACGTATTTGCCTTCCCAGTGGTGAACGGTGCCTGTAGGCATCATCTACTTGCTGAGTACATTTCTTCCTCTGTAAGCAAAAGCATCTTGGATAACAAGCACCATAGCCAATCTCATGAGTTTTGTTATCGAGGTGCCTTCCTTTTTCCCCAGCCAGTTTGATGTGTTGGGAGAAAAGGAAAGGAAAGGATACCTTGATGTGTCTTGCTTGTCAGCAAGTTGACCCTATTTGAGGAAAATGGAAATGGCTTCTGGTGGAAGGAGGTGGAGCAGCCTAGGAGTTCCTTGGATGTGTGTGTGTGTGTCAGAAAATAACTCCCCTAATACAAGACATATTCATTTCATCTGATTCAGTTTTACTTTTGATTCGCAATATTCAAAACTGGAGGAGAGGGCAGGTAAAGGTAAATGTTAAAGTTCCCCTTGACAATTTTTGTCCAGTCGTGTCCGACTCTAGGGGGCGGTGCTCATCCCCGTTTCCAAGCCATAGAGCCAGCGTTTTGTCTGAAAACAATCTTCCGTGGTCACATGGCCAGTGTGACTTAGACACGGAACGCTGTTACCTTCCCACCAAGGTGGTCCCTATTGATCTACTTGCATTTGCATGCTTTCGAACCGCTAGGTTGGTGGGAGCTGGGACAAGCGACGGGAGCTCACTCCGTCGTATGGATTCGATCTTATGACTGCTTGGTCTTCTGACCCTGCAGCACAGGCTTCTGTGCTTTAGCCTGCAGCGCCACCACGTCCCCGGAGGAGAGGGCAACATTTGCTTATAATTTGTATGCATTGCCTTAATAATATTCATGGCCGTCAAGTCAATTCTGACTTACGGCGACCCTTTTCAGAAGAGGTTTGCCATTCCTTTCTTCTGGGAGTGCCCTGGGATTGTGTGCAACTGGCCCAAGGCCACCCAGGCTGGCTCATCTCCCTGGAGGCCCAGTGGGGGAATCGAACTCCCAACTTCTGGCTCTGCAACCAAAGACCTTAAACCATTGAGCAATCCAATCTTACCCAATGCCTTACTGCTGAAATATTGAGCGAGGAAGGTAAAGAGACCTGTCTGAAAGGAAGTGCTGTACAGCGGTAAAGCATGCCACAACTGTAAAGCATGTGCAGTATCCGCTTGTGGATTGTACTTCTCCAGGGACCATCATCTATAGGGACACCCACTCGCCCCCGTTCTGAGGCTTGGAATGAGAATAATATCGCAGGAGAGAGGAGATCATAATTAGGCTTAGCTTTAATATGGCACCTTTGAACATTAACAAGGCATATCAAGTTCAACCCCCTCCTAAGGCTGAGAAATGACATCCTTGACCACATGGAGAAAGGCCTGCCACCTTCAAGGGTAATCCATTCCACTTTCGGAAACCTCTTATTGTCCAGAAATTCTTCCTAATATTTAGACAAAATCTCCTTTCTGTTTTAAATCAGTGACTTCAGATTCTACCTCTGGAGCCACAGAACACAAGTGTGCCCCATAATCCATATGACAGCCCTTCATGAACATCACATCACCCCTCAACAGTCTCATCTCTACGCCCCTCTCAACCATACCAGCTGAGATTGGGTTTCCAGATATTTTCTTTTTACCAGTTTGGTCTCCCTCAATGGAAATGTCCCAGCTTCAGCTGTATTTTGGCTTTCCAGCAAAGCCATTGTGTTATCTCCGAGTAAAAGTTAGAAAGAGAGTCAGTGGTAGAGGTGACATTTGGCCCGTGACTTCCTCATTCATAGCTCAGACTCTGAACCACTGTACTCTAGTGGTTCTCAGTAGGCATTCCCCATCTCATATCGGGTAGACCGTTTTTATTCTTGGGTATTCCTCTGTCCAGTGTTGAGCTAGACATTGTAGGTCTCAGGGCTTCCTTCTGTGTTCCAACTTGGTGCCCTCCATAGGAGCTTGGCTGTAGGCCATGGTTGGAGAGTACCATAGTTAAAACGGTTGGCATGCAGTGGCTGAAATCCAGTAGTAAGTTGCAGCTGGAGTAGGTTCATTTGGACTAGGTGAGTCAACACATACATAAAATTCAATTGATTCCGTGGGTGTATTCGAATTTTCTTACTAGAGAGGGACAGGAATCAGTTTGTGTCGCTTCATACAAAGTCTGGTGTGACACCACATGTGCCGTGCATTCCCTCTGCCCACCCCCTGGCTGGCTTCCCCACTCACGATGCAGCGTGCACCATCCGGGTCCTCCTCCTCTGGCAGTACTTCAGTCCGGGCAGGAGACCTCCGGGTCCTCCTCCTCTGGCAGTACTTCTGTCCGGGCAGGAGACCGGGCTTCCATTCCCTGCCTCCTCCAGCAGCCGCCCACTCAGTCGAGGAGGTAGGACAGGGATTCTCCTTGTGAAGCCATTGAGTGGATTGGTTCGTGCCCGTCTCTGTTTCCTGCTGCTGGATTTCAGCCAAGGTATAGTTTCAGCCAGGACGGCGTTTTATCCGTTTTAGCATCAGAGCTCTGCGGTATCAGTTGGTGGAGAATGCAGTGGAGTCCTGCTAGAAAGCTTCCCATGGGCATCTCTTTTGCTACAAAGTGATGGATTAAATAATCCTCTGATTTGATCTAACTGGGCCCTCCTTGTGTGGTAGAAAGAGAATACAGCAATTCTATGTCGATGCCGGAGAATGTAGGGGGTTCAGGAATTGTGCTCTTCTGCCTGAGCCCGTGCTGAAGGCCGCTACCCCCTTTCATGTGTGTTTCCTGTGTGGTAGAAAGAGAATACAGCAATTCTACCCCTTTTCATGTGCGTTTCCCCTCCTTGCCCCTGAGACAGGTCTATAACCTGACTCAGGAGTTCTTCCAGAGTGGTAAACCAGTCCATGCCGAGAGCAAGAACAGCGTGGGAGTCTTCACGCGAGATGTCGTGCGCAAGCGCATCAAAGCTGATCAGGACGACTCAGAGGTGATCAGGAGGCTTAAGCTTGCCATGATCCAGCAATACCTTAAGGTAATTTTGGGATTTTGCTTGGAAGGCTGCAGAGGGGACCCCATTGGAGGGAGGGTTGGAAAGAGCCACCTGACGTAGTGCAGGCTGCAGGATAAGACATTGTCTTTAAAGGATGTTTACTTAAAATGTTTCACTCATCACCCCACTAATGCGTGAAAACATCTGAAGCTGGTTTACATGGGCAGAGGTCTTTGGTCCGTCTTTCCCAATGAGCCAACTTTCTAGGTTCTTTAAGAAGGGAAGGTCCCCAGTCTTGCTTGCTTGAGCTTGTGTAAGGATTTATTCTGCTGGATCCATACCAAATTCTTTGTAGACCACTGGTTTTCAGTCTCTGTCTCTCCAGATGTTTTGTACAGTAACTCCCCTAAGTCCCAGTCCGCATGGCCTGTAGTGAGGAATTCTGGAACTTGGAAGTCCAAGACCTTTGGAGGGCCAGAGACTGAGAACCAGCAGTTCATCTAGGGTTAGCCAGATGCCTCTAGAAAGCCAACGAGGTGCAAGCTTTCCACACCTAAAATGCCTGCTTTGCCCTAGGTGGAAAGTTGTGAGAGTAGCTCTCACAGCATGGATGAGGTCTCGCTCAGCGAATTTGGGGAGTGGACCGAGATCCCCGGAGCCCATCACATCATCCCTTGTGGCTTCATGAAGATTGTGGAGATCTTGGCCTGCTCCATCCCAGAGCCGGTCATCCAGCTGAACAAGCCAGTGAAGTGCATCCACTGGAACCAGTCCATTAGCAAGGAGATTGAGCGCGTGGCTGACCACAACAGCGACCGCATGGAAGATGATGATGCCGGCTACCATGTCCTGGTAGAGTGCGAGGACTGCGAGTTCCTTCTGGCTGACCACGTCATTGTGACGGTGTCCCTGGGAGTCCTCAAGAAGCACCACGAGCGCATGTTCAGCCCCTGCCTGCCAGAGGAGAAGGTCCTGGCCATCCAGAAGCTGGGCATCAGCACCACCGACAAGATCTTCCTGGAGTTCGAGGAGCCCTTTTGGAGCCCCGAGTGCAACAGCATCCAGTTCGTCTGGGAGGACGAAGCGGAGGCCGAGAGCCTGACCTACCCGGAGGAGCTGTGGTACAAGAAGATCTGCAGCTTCGATGTCCTCTTCCCGCCGGAGCGCTACGGCCACGTGCTGAGCGGCTGGATCTGTGGAGAGGAGGCCTTGATCATGGAGAAGTATGATGATGAAACAGTGGCGGAAACCTGCACCGAGATGCTGCGTAAATTCACAGGTGTGTCATTCCCCCCCCCTTTCTGCCCCTTCCTTGGAGGTACGGATAGCGTGCGGTCAGAAGAGGAGGAACGGTGGGCAGGGTGGGGACATGGAGGCATAAGAGGAGACTGAATAGCGCCTTTCTGGATTTAGCCTCTTGGTGGGTAGATCTGTGGAAGCAGCTGTCTTGCAGCCTGGTGTTGGTGAAAAAGCTGCTTATCGCCTTCTCCCACCTAGATCACCCGCCATAGCCAGGAGCGTTCGAGGAGCCCTTTTGGAGCCCCGAGTGCAACAGCATCCAGTTCGTCTGGGAGGACGAAGCGGAGGCCGAGAGCCTGACCTACCCGGAGGAGCTGTGGTACAAGAAGATCTGCAGCTTCGATGTCCTCTTCCCGCCGGAGCGCTACGGCCACGTGCTGAGCGGCTGGATCTGTGGAGAGGAGGCCTTGATCATGGAGAAGTATGATGATGAAACAGTGGCGGAGACGTGCACCGAGATGCTGCGTAAATTCACAGGTGTGTCATTCCCCCCCCCTTTCTGCCCCTTCCTTGGAGGTACGGATAGCAGCGTGCGGTCAGAAGAGGAGGAACGCTGGGCAGGGTGGGGGGGGGTGTGGAGGCATAAGAGGAGACTGAATAGGTGCCTTTCTGGATTTAGCCTCTCGGTGGGTAGATCTGCAGAAGCATCTGTCTTCAGTCCCTCATCTGCAGCCCGGTGTTGGTGATAAAGCTGCTTATTCGGACCGGCAGCACTTTTCCAGGCTCCCCAGCGTAGATTTTTTCCCTTGTTTTACTCCTAGACATGTTTCAGGTGGAGATGCTGAGAACTGAACCTCAGACATCATTATATGAAAAGTGTACACTCAGCTTCTCTGCTGTGGCTGCTTCCCTTTCGTAAAGCACACTTCCCAGAGGGTGGTCCGGCCCACTCTTGCCTCGCCAACATGGCTGAGCAATCCTTTGCTGGTAACCCACGAGAGTATTCTAAACATACCCCAGCCTCGTGAGTTGATTCTAAACTCCTTCCTCGGCTTTAGTTGAGAGTTGAAGTGCCTCTGGCCTTTGAGATGGTCTTGAACTCCAGGTCCCATCAGCTCAAGAGCCATGGCCGGTGGCTGGGAAGGGGAGGCGTTTTTGACCACATGTCCTCTGGAGGGCCGTGGGTTGCCCAACCCTTGCCTCAAATTGCATGTCGTTGTGTAGGGTTTTTATGGTGCATGCGTTCATCTCCTCTGCAACTGTGTGTATATGTGGGTGTATAGGTGTGTGTTCTTGAGCCTTGTGTGTGCAGGATAGGGACATTGATTGTTGTAGGATAGTTGTAGCAATCCTGACACCCACTCGATTTTCTGTTTTCCCTGCAGCCCTTGTAAATCTGACTCCAATATAGTCACACAGGGACCATTTCTGGGCTAATGTGGTACGCCCAAAGGATGTTCCTATGAGGGTGGGCGCTCTCCTGGTGCAACCCTCTCGTCTTGACTGACTCTACAGCCGCCTTGCTCAGATTTTGAGTGGTAGGAAAGCATTTATCTCTAGACAGATGCTCCGTTTCCTCTGTGCCCAGGTATGGAGGTTGGGCATGCCCTCGGGAAGGCCCAGATCATTCTTTTGGGCTCCAGCTTCCAGAATCCCCCAAGTCAGCCTGGCTGATAGGCATCGTAGCTGGGAATTCTGGGATTTGTAGTCCAAGAAAAGAACAACTCACCCGAGCTAGAGAGTAGCCTTCCAGCTGCTGCGATTTGGAAACAGCTGTATTCCATCACTCTTGGGGGGAGTTATCTCGGCAACGTGTGGAAGATTGGTGCTTTGGGTCTGCTCTGAATTCTTCAAAGTTGATCATACACAATCATTGGCAATTGGTGCCCGTTTCTCTGCAGAAATGATTGATTTCTGGGGCTTTGGTTTCCCACCCAAGTGAGCCGAGTGGATTATTGGGATTTGCTTGTCCAAATGTCCCAGGCTTGAGCCGCCTGTGAACCATTGACAACGGCGGCTTTTTGTAAATCTGATTAAAGTGGCGCCCTGTTCAAACAGCCCACTGCCTTGTACACAGTCCTTTGTCCACTAAGCCCTCCCTGCGAGGCGCCAGGATTTCAGGGGAGCCAGAAGCTTTCCGGGAGATTATTTCAGTTGCTCTGAAAGTCCCGTCCCTCCTTTTGATCTTCCCATGTCACTGGGACTTTGCAGTACTATTCACAGTGATTTTAGTGAGTTTGGGTGGCTCTTTGATCAAGAGGAATACAGTATAGCAAGAGGATGGCTTGGCCAGTTGTCTTCACCCAAAGCCATTGGGTGTGGGCGTATCAGACCCTGGATTCTTTCATGTCCCTGTATTTGCACTAGCAGTGCTCCTTCTTCTGAGCTTGCACAAGGAGATGCCAAGTGTACAAGCACTTTCACTTCTCACTTTGCACAGACACGACAACACAGCATTCTTGTGCAGACACACAAGCATGACATCACAGCGCAGTTGTATAAGTGTGTAGGTGCAACAGTGCCATTGGGTCAGGGTGTGGTTGCACGATGGGTGCTCTCCCTGCCTGAGCCACTGTAACCGTGCTATTAGAGAGTCTCTTTCTACCAACATTCATTTGGATTTAGAGTTAAGGCTCCAAAAATTGTGATCAGCCGGGGCAGACCCAACACCACGCCTGGCGCAGAGTGAGCTGTGAGTAGGCTCTGGTCTCCAGTCTTGCATTGGGTTCTGGAGGTATGCAGAAGTAGGAAGACGTTTTAACAACTTCTGAAGGTCTGGGAAATTCAGGTCAAGATCAAGGTAGGAGAGCACTTTTCTCCAAGTGTAAGGTCCTGCTGCCATTCTGGAGTGCTTTGAAATCAGCCTCATTTTTGTTTTTTTGTTTATTCATTCGTTCGTTCCTTCCTTCCTTGTTTCTCCCTGTCCTTCCTTCCTTCCTTCCTTCCTTCCTTCCTTCCTTCCTTCCTTCATTCATTCATTCATTCATTCATTCATTCTTTTCTCCCTGTCCTTCCTTCCTTCCTTCCTTCCTTCCTTTCTTCC